TACATTATATATCGCGACAGGCTTTGAATTACAGTCAGTTTTAATATAGGAAGTTGGGCAGCAGGCGAGTTGCATTTTAAGTAGTTGCCGCTAGATCCCATGGGTTGGGTGATCTACTGCCCTGGACCCAGATTCAGATCCTGGCCTTGCTGGGGGCTTCCTTCAACCTCGGCCTTTCTGCACAGAAGTCCAGGCAAAGGTCAAGCAGGGGAAAGAGCGCCAGCAGCCCCTCGGAGGGGGCCGGATTGCCCTCTCCTGCCTGGAGGCTCAGAGCGGCTGCTGCGAATCTGGGCTCAGCTGCTCCCCAGAAGAAGCGGTGCCAGCTTGGAACTTCTGGTCTGGCTGGCGGGAGGCAAGCGAGAGTCGAGTCTCTTCCGGCCCCCCTGCAGTTCCACAGAAGGCCAGCTGGGAGCGCTCCTCGGCCTGAAAGGCGAGTTCTGCCCCATCCCTTGAGATCCCACTCTCAAAGGGAAACCTCCCGCAAGGCTGGAGCCAGGCTGGATGTGGTCCGGAGAAGGATATGCCCTTCTGCTGCTGCCAGAGTCAGGAGGGCTGGCAGAACCCCCCCCCCCTTTGACCAGGACCTGAACCCCCACCAGGAGCCCCAGAGATGGTGGCTGTTGCCCTTTCGGTGAGGGAGGGAGGAAGAACTGGCTCCGTGCAAAATTTAATACGGATCTGTGTCCCCTGGATCAGAGCGCAGTTATTTTCTTTGGGTTTTCCCACTGCGCTATTCTTTTACGCAGTTCATGACTAAAACAACCCGTTTTTAAGGTAAAATTTCTTGAGAATTATGTACTTTGAGAGAAAGTATGTTAGAAATATAATTGAAACAGATGTTTAAATACATTTTTGTGTGGGTGTGGTTTATTCTTTTTATTCTGTTTTATCACAGTGGAATGCTGAGATGGGATGGAGGCGATTCATGAAGAGCGCAGGCGAAATGGCACACAGTGAGACAGGCTGGACCCAGATGGAGCCATCCAAACTCCCCACCCCCCCCTGTCTCCCCCCCCCCCCCCCCCCCCCGTTGGACGTGGCTGTCCTTCAGGCTGGGAGCTCCGCAGCAGGAGGAGTAGGGGCAGACGCACACACATATGCCCACACACCCAGGGCAATGCACAGGTGGGCCATAAAACGAGGGGCTTTGCCAAAGCCTCACACAACTTGTGCAGACTCTGGAAACCACTGTAATCGGGGAGAGGAAGACTGAGATGCTCCCTGGCCTGGCTCAGCGGAAGAAAGGAGTTGTAGGGTCCAAAGCTCCGAAGTTTTGTACATTACCCTGTAGCCGTTATGACTGCTAGAAAGCCAAGGTTTAACGCATTTGGGGGGAATCTGGCCCAGATCAACCAACCAAGAATTCAAGCAATTAATGGCTAGACTAGCTCTCGGATAACCCTTCCTTGACTCTGCTTTGAAGAGGCCCAGATCAGCCAGGCTCTATATTCGAGGGATGCCCTTGGGTGGCCGGATTCTCCCCTTTGTCTAATGGCTGCGGCTGAAGTTCTCGACACAGAGCTTTGCAACCACTGTGGAAACTCATCTGCCTGCCAACGTTGCTGATGGTGCACGGGAGGCTTCCTCTGGGGATGCGAGATCGAGCGCTGCAGTTCGTAACCAACAGCCGGCCTTGAGACAGGAGAGCCGCAGGCGGCGGCTGCGCGGGTGGAGCTGCTCCGAAGGACCGAGACACAGGACCCAGCAACCTCAGGCTGACAGGAATTGGGACTTTTTGATCATAGTTGGCTTCTGTCCCATGAAAGTGGGTGTAACCTCCTCCCCCCAAAAGCTGCCTTCAAAATATAAGCAGAGGAGGAAAGGCAGAGAGAGAGAGAGAGAGACAAATGCAAAGTTTAAAAAGCCCTTAATATCCAGAGCCTCCTTTCCGTGCACTAAAAAAAAAACAAAAAAACAAAAGGAAAAAAAATGTGGCAAATAAAAAGGAGCTGTTTAATTTTGTTTTCTTTTAAAAAAACAGCACATGATACGCGGAAAATAAGAACTTACATAAATTATACAAATGAACTTGACACGGGTTGTTCTTGTTTCTGGAGCAGATATGTACAGTCTAGTTTGTGTTTCCTTTTTCTGTTCTGATAGTGTTAAGATGAACGTTGACAGTTTTTCTATACATTGCATTGATTTGAACTCTGAAATGGTACCCAAAGAAGCAACCTCCCCAGGGGGCATTTCCTGCCTTCCCGATTGATCTGAGAGGTTTCAAGGCTGCTGCCCAGCGGTGGAGGTGGAGGTGGGGCAAGCCGAGAGGGCCCTCCCTCTGAGTTGGGGCCCAGGCGCACCTCAGCCTCGGCTGCCAGGAAACCCTAACCCTCCGCAGCCCTTGGTGCAGCAGGAGGCGCATCAGCGAGGAGGCTCGGGGGAAGCCAGCAATCTGGCCTCAGGCCCAGCTTAAGCCGGAGCCGTGTCCCAGTCAGGCCCAAAGCGCTCAGCAGGGAGGAGCAAAACCGCTTATTGGTTATCACAAATATCGATATACTTGTTTGCGAGACAGGACTGCGGGATAAAGGAATGTTATTTGCGGGATGGCGTCTTTCAGGAGCATTTACAACTTTGTGCTCGGGTGTACAGAGGAGAGCTGGGAGGGGGGGAAAGCAGGCTGGGGGTTCAGAGCCGCCAGAGGATAAACGCTGTTGTGCAAAAGGTCCCCGTAGGAGCTGCCCACAGGGGAGGCTGCCGCCAAGTGCCTGTAAAGCTGCTGAGAGCTGCCTGGGGAGGTGAGGAACTGTCTATGCACCATGAAGGAGTGGAGCGCAAAGGGTTGCAGAGGGGAGAGGGCCGCCTGGTTTTTCAAGTACTGCAGGGGGTGGGAGTAGCTGGCCACTGGCATGCGGCTGCCCAGGCCGCCGCACAGGGTCCCTGGGTACAAACTTGTGAAGATGGGGCTGGAGAGGGGGAACTTTTGGCCCTCCAGCGCCCCGCCTGGGGGTGGGCCATGCACTGGCTTGCTGCCCTCCATGTCCTGTTCTTTGGAAGGGGCTTCCTTTGGTAAGCGCAAGGGTGAGACTGCTCGGACCTTCTTCTCCAAAAGGCCTTTGTCCAGGTCCTCCAGGCTGCGCTTCAGAGGGCGAGCTGCCCCGATGCCCTGAGCCATGGCTTTGTGGCTCAGGACCGGGTGTACCATCCCGTCCAACTTTCTTGGGGCTGGCAGCTTGCAGGCCCTCAGGAGGGGCTCCCCCTGTTTCTTTGGGGCGGAGACCGTCATTGGGGAGACCCGACAAGCCTTTGGATTGCCATCCACACTTAGAGTCTGGCCGGTCAAGGGGTGGAACCGGGCGACGCTTTTGCCCTCCTCTACACCCCCGGGTGAACCCCGTAAGAGAGGGGCTCCCAAGGTTTTAGTGGTCTGTTTGTGGCCCCCTTTGGGAAGACTCAGATCTGTGGGCTGATCATCCAAGGGGGTTTCCCGGGAGGTCTTGTTCTCCGGCTGGTGCAAAGGCGGGTGGTAGCTGAGTAGTCGCCTGTCCTGGAGCTTATGGGGAGGGAACCCAGCAGCATTTTCCCCGTACACGTCTCGGGGGAAGTACTTGGAGCACGGCTGGCTCCCCAGGTGCTCGGCACGCCGATAGAGGCTGTGGAGGGGAGGGGAGGCGTAAAAGTCTGCCAAGAAGCCGGGCACGTGCGAGTGGTGCAGGGCCCTCCTCTCATTCATGCGCTCCTTCATATCCTGGATTTCTGACTTCAGTGCGTAGGATTCTGCTAGGGCACTCAAATGCTGCTTAGAAAAATCACAACATTCGGAGTCTGGTTTCTTGAGCAGGGAGTCATGTCGGTAGGCATCGTGAGTAGGCCTCCTGTCCTCCACAGTCTTGGGTTTAAAACTCTGCACGTGTTGGATGACTGATGGCCTGCTGACCACCGCACTGTCCATGGAGGGCCTGGGAGACAGCAGTCCTGGCCTGCCGGACAAGAGATCGTCCTTGCTGCTGAACTTCTTCTTGCTGATCAGTGGTGGTGGGGAGCCATACGGGTAGTTGCCACAGGATAGGGCTGCCCCACTCACCTGGGAGAGGAGCTTCTTTTTGGCTAGAGGGGACATGATGCCTGGGTTGCCCTTGGAGTAGAGTAATGGGGTGGAGCCAAACCCGGGATCCCCATTGAAGGGACTTGGGAGGTCCTTCTCCTTGAACATGTCGAAGTTCTGCACCACCATCACTTTGGGGCTCTGCTTCAGGGCACTGTGGATGTCCTCGCTGCCCAACTGATCCACTTTCACCGTGCAGTTGGCAATGTAGTCCGCCATCTCTGGGATTTTATCGTCTTCCATCTCGTTCTGACTTGGGAGGGGCAGCTGGAGGCCGGGGAAGCTGCTGAAGGGGATTGCCTGGGCCTCCTCCTCCTCTTCCTCGAGGCCATCTGCAAAACACGACACCCCGCGTAGTTCCTGCTTGGGCTCCTCCTGCAGCTCCTCCAGAGGTGGGCTTCTGGTCATGGCTTCAGGGGAGACCAGAGATGCGTCGGCCAGAGGCTCGTCCTCTTCCAAGAAGGCCACTCTGGGGGCCACCGGAGGGGAACCTTCGGCAGAGAGTTTCATGGCTTCTGCCGCAGTCAGGTCCAATAAGCTTTTCTGCAATGAGCATTCCTGATTCTTCTCTTTGGCCGATGAACCCTAGTAAAAGATTTGGAGAGGAAACTGTGAGAAAACACCACCAAGAGAAGCATCTTATCTGCAAACAAAGCCCTCGGCCTTTGCGCTGAAGCCTGCAGGGTTTTCTAGCGGCCTCCACAAGAGTTTTCCACTTGTGGAATAATTAGGACTCAGCCCCTCTCTTCTATCCCAGCACAAGGTGCAGGCAAAGCTACGTTCCTGATCTGCACCTACAGTGTTGTATGGAGACCCAGCAACCTTCATGGAAGGCCCACCCATCAATTAAGGCAGGGGTGTCAAACTCGATTTCATTGAGGGCTGCATCAGAGTTGCATTTGACTTTGGGGGCTGGGGTGTGTGTGGCCAGGTGGGTGGGCATAGCCATCTCGATGTCACTCATCAAAGCTTTGTTTTCAGTCATGACGGCCCTCCTGGGCTGTTTTTGGCTATGACAGCCTCCTGCAGCCCTCTGCCAGGAAGGGGAGGCCGTGTACGGCCCTTCTGAGCTCCCTTTTGGCCGGCAGAGGAACCGCAAGCCGCTCCTTCGCTGTTTCCAGGGTGGGCCCACCGGCCAGATCTAAGCACCCCGCAGGCCGGATCTGCCCCTGAGCCTTGAGTTTGACACCCCTGAACTACGGGAACGGTCGCTGCTGCTGCTGTGTTCACAGAGCAGGCCAAGGAGAGAGAACCCAATCCCAGGCAAATGGATTCCTTTCATCTTTTAGAAGGCTACCCAAGGCAGCCCTTTCTAAAAAGAAGGACCACCCTCAGGGTGGCTTGAAGCGGGTGGACCAAGGGCAGAGCTGAAGGGAAACCAGGCCAAGAAATTGGGAAAGGACTCTGGGGAAGGCAAAAAACAGCCGAACCGGGTGTCCAGAAATGGGCCTGTTTCTGTGTTCTGGAGGCCCCCTGGAGCCTGGAGGAGGCTGTTTTTGCCTCCCAGAGGCCCTCGGGAAGCCTCTGGACTCTGGGAAAGGTGGAAAAAAAAGCCCTCCCGGAAGTTCTGGTAGGCCACACCCAACTGTGCCCAGTTGCTGGGATTTTTTTGAATCCCACCCTCGCCAGGAGGGGTACAAAAAGCTCCCTTCCCCCTTCTGGCAGGGCTGTCTTGGGCTTTCCCTGCGGCAAGCCTTCCTTCAGATCGTTTTGCTAACAATCTCCCCCTTCTGTTTCGTCTGTCAATCCATTTACACAGAGAGGGAACCTGAGGCCATTGGTGTGCTTCACCTGAGAAGCAGCTGCCTGGCCATCCTGCAAAGCCACCTTCCTTCCCCAAGCAGTCTTTGGGCAGGAGGCCCTGACCACAGCATGCTGGGCTAAGGAGCTAAGCTGCTCTCCTTCTCCCTCTCTTCCTCAGGCCTGAAGAGAAAGCAGCAGGAAAGGAATCGCCTTGGAGAAGGACGGTAGGTAGGAAAGAAAGCTCCGTCTTCTCCTGGATTTGTGCCTCTGCAGCTGCTTTTAAGGTCCCTTGGCTGTTGAGAACTTGAGGCTGGCAGGAAGAGTGAGGTTTGGTGTTTGTCCAGGGTTCTCCAACCGTGGCAACTTTAAGACTTGTGGACTTCAATTCCTAGAATTCTGCTGGGTGAGGAATTCTGGGAGTTGAAGTCCACAAGTCTTAAAGTTGCCACGGTTGGACAGCCCTGTTTCAGTCAGCTCTCGTCCGCCAAAGCGAGGCCCCCGGTGATCCAAATGGAGTGGATGAGATCAAAGAATGAAAAGTTTGGGACAGAGAAACCGGAACAGGCAGAACAGACCTCTGCCGGGTCCTGGGGCTTTGGTGCCTCCTCTCGCTCCTTCTTGCTCTTCATGTGTTCATGCTTGATGCGCTTTGTGCCGGCCAATTTTATCTTACTCTCCACCTCCTGAGCGATCTCTTGCTTTCGAGGCTTCACCTGAGGCAATGGCTTGTCTTCCTCCCCTTTAATGTATCTTTCATAGGGCAGGATTAATCTAAGGAACAAACAACCAGTCAGTTAGGGAGATTATTGGCCCCAGGAGGAAACCTCTCCTGGTAATGGAGAAACATCATGGAAAAGCACCAGGACCTCCTTCGGGGCAGCTGGGAATAAGCAACTGCTTTGGGCAGGGAAGGAGGTCCAGGGTGGGGTCACCACAAGCATTAGGAGGATCCCCCAGGTGGCATTAATAGATAACAGATCATCAGAGTTGGAAGGGACCTTGTAGGTCATCCAGTCCAACCCTCCCGCCCAAGCAGGAGACCCTACACCATTTCTGACAGGTGGCAGTCCAATCTCTTCTCTCCTTGAAAGTCTCAAGTGATGGCGCTCCCACAACTTCCCGAGGGCAACTTCTGTTCCATGGGTTGATTGTTCTCACTGTCAGAAAATTCCTCCTTATTTCCAGGTTAAATCTGTCCCTGTTCAGTTTCCATCCATTATTCCTTGTCTGGCCTACAGGCGCTTTAGAAAATAGCTTGACCCCCTTCCTCCTCCCTGGGGCAGCCCCTCAAATATTGGAAGACCGCTATCCTGTCTCCCCGAGTCCTTCTCTTTACTAGACTAGCCAAGCCCAGTTCCTGCAACCGTTCGTTGTATGTTTTAGCCTCCAGTCCCCTAATCATCCTGGTTGCTCTTCTCTGTACTCTTTCTAGAGTCTCAACATCTTTTTTATAATGTCACCACCAAAACTGGATGCAGTACTCTAGGTGTGGTCTCACTAAGGCTTTATGGAGTTGTATGTACCTCACTTGATCTCGATTGTATCCCTTTGTTAATGCAGTTTAGGATTGCATTAGCTTTTATGGCTGCCGCTGCACACTGCTGGCTCCTATTTAGCTGGTTGTCCACTAAACATTAGGATAGCCAAGGCCGGTTCCATTCCCAATCCCCCCTCCCAACCCCTGGCTGTCTTCCCCTTCCTCTTTGTCCTGCTCAAAAGGGAACCTGGATTTTGTTTTTGCTTTGAATGGTTTGAGTCTCCTATCCTGGATTTCTAAGTCATCAAAGAGATTCTTCCTCTTAAAGGACTCCTTGATGCCATTGTAGGCTGCAATTTTAGGTAAGCGTTAAGCAATTCTAAAGGGAATCCTTAGCTAATGGGATGGTTTTAAAAACTCGGAAATTGCATTCACCCCCGTGTGTCTGTGCATGGGTGTATCCATTCTGTTGCTCCCAATCAGCTGTAGAAGAAAGCCTGACTATGTTAGTAGAGCGTTTTATCCCGGGAAGAGATTTGGGGTCTCTTTTGAGCTGGTTCCAAAAAAATTAATAATAATCAAAATGAGATTTTGAGTTGGATCAAATCAGCCCTTAGGCTAGCAAACAAGCTACTTCTTTTCCTGAACTTTGACCCTTTAAGTCAACTGAATGAAGCTTTTATTTACAGTGGCATTTTGGGTCACTAAATAAAGAGACTTCTCCAATCTGGACCCCCCACCTCACCTGTAAAAATTGGGGCACTGAATTTTCCATCAGCAGAGAAAGGTATTTGTGTTCTAGAACAGGGTTCTCCAACCTTGGCCACTTTAAGCCCGGAGGACTTCAACTCCCAGAATTCCCC